AGCATGGTGAAGGGGCATTGGTCAAGCCTGCCCCAAAGGGTTGTTTCCATCTCGGTGAGCTCTAAATGGACATCTGCCGGGATACCGTATTCTTCCCTGATGGCAGCCAAGGCAGCAGGTGTGTCCACAAGGAAGCGGAATTTTCCCATGTGTGACCGACTAATTTAGCTCGGCTGAGGTGGTTTGGCACAGGCTGGGAATTAATGGCTGCTCGGTCCTTGAGAGCCTCAGAATTAGTCTTTGGTCCGCTTGGACTCTGCAGGAAAATGGAGGGTAATTATAAGTGGGAGCGCGGTCGCACAAAACGAGCTAGACTTGAGCTCGGTCATGGATTGTGCCAAACCACCTCGGTCGTAAAGGCTAGCCAAGGAGCTCGGTCGCTCAAGCGAACCAGAGTTTAGCTCGGTCGAGCGGCCAAGTCCTTTTTGCTACCCCGATTTCTACTAAGGTTGGGACAAACTAAAGATTTGCTCGGTCTGAATGATTTTTGGGATCGGATGAAGATCTATAGCTTGGTCCGCCCCAGATCTTCATTGTTCATCAGGGAAATTGAAGAACAGCGAAGAAACTAAGGGGCATTGAAGGTTTTGGGCGAGGGAGGCCCTAAAACCTACGGCTTTGGTGCTATAAAGAAAAAATATGAAATGAAAATAGTAATAACAAGGGCAGGGGGACTTACCAATGAAAGGCAGAGGCTCCTTCTTCGAACGCGAGTTCAGGGATGGCGAGAGAGAAAGGGCAAGAGCTCAGAGACGCTTGAAACGGAGGAATGTCAGTGAGAATGAATCAAAGAGGGAGGGGGCATGTTTATTGAGGAAGAAAAATCGCCCAAATTCGAATTTTAGGGGACGATTGGGTTGGCTGCTCGAGGACCAATGGGAGATTGACACGTGACCCCATTAATGGCAACATCAGAGTTGAAGAGACAGGAAGGACAGACGAAGCGTCGACTGACCAAGACAAGGAACCGAGCGCGGAAATTAGCCCGGTTTGCCTCTTGTAAATTATCAATTGAGGAAGAGTTTATCCCGGTCAGAACAGGTAATCCCGGTCACGCTGGCGCGGACAGAATTAAGGGGCAATTGAGAGGGAAAAATATGGTCTGGATTGGGCCATGGTAATACCAGGAAAATTTTGGGCCGAACACATTTGGGCCGTGGTATCCCAGGTCCACCCAGAAGTGATTTTTGCTCGGCAATGGCAAGGGCATGTGGAACCGAGCTACTTCACCTTGTCGGCACGGAGGCCGGTCAAGTAAGGGTTCCACGGTTTATGCGTTGCGCGGTTGGAAAGCACGCACCCATAGCTCGGCGTGAAGGCTCATGCCTGAAGCTCGGCAGGAAGGACTTTGGTTAACCGGTATGACCAATCTCAAGCTTGGCTTCGCCAGAATATAGTTGAGCATGGCTGGAAAGGAGCTCGGTTGTTGGGGGCACCTGGGCATGAAATGTAGCATGGCCATTGACAGCCGAGATGCTACAGCCCGGCTACCGAGCTCCCAATACAGTGGGCTGGCAGTCGGGTTAGGTGATGTTCAGCAAGATTTGTGCTGACAGATGGGACAGCAGGACCATGTGTCGAGAGACGAATGTGAGTAAATTTGGGGCACAGAAGGTATATAAGCAAGTCTGCGCCCCCCATGCTGGACAGAGGAACATTTGGTAAGAGAAACACTTACAGTCAACTCTCTCCTCACTCTCTCTATCCTCAGGTGTGTGCTAACTTGATTGTCGGAGGGGTTTTCCGGCCACACACCGCCGGGTAGCTCACTGCTGTTGTGCACGCAGGTGATCGGACAGAAACGGAGCTTGGAAGAAAGGAATACGGGCTTGCCTGAATATTTGCTCCCCGTACAGTAACCTTTTTTTTTCAAGATATTTCAAAATAACCTTTTTAGTTGTAATCAAGTTGCATATTTGAGAGTATCCCCAACGGTTGACAATTAAAATGTTTCTCCAAATAACTGTTAGACCAGAGAGTTCCACACCCCTAGCCACTTGCACAGAAGGAAAGTCTTAAAAGAGAGTGTGAAAGAGAGAGTTGCGCAAGAGAAGAAGAAGATGATGGAGGAGGTAGGGGTTATGGAGAAGAAAAGGGGCTATGGAATCGCATATGCAAGGGTGGAGTGGTTGTGGAAGGTGGTCAGAAGAGGGAAGAGAGAGTTCATTTTCAGTTTTTTTTTTTTTTTTTACGAACTCTACACATTTATACAAAAATATCATCAAAATAAGGGAAAATTATTTATAAGTCCTATTAGGGAGATTTATGCTACATATGATCCTACTAAAAAACTTATGTTTCCATAAGTCCTGTGTGAAGTTTGTTGGCACACTTACCCTCAATATTAGTTGTTAATATCATAAATAATGGTAAAACCACATATAGGAAATTGAATGTTACCATAGATTAAGTTTGCGAAGCGAAACGTAACGTGACACCTACATAAACGAAACGTGACACCTACATAAACGTAAGGAAACATGTCATGTTATGTTTCGCAAACTTACTAGGTTTTTGATTTTTTAAATTGTATGTGAAAATGTTACTTGTTCGTGTATTTTGAAATTCACATTCATATGGATATGATCTATGATAACATTCAATTTCTATATGTTACGTTTCGCAAACTTACTAAGTTTTTGATTTTTTAAATTGAATGTGAAAATGTTACTTGTTCGTGTATTTTGAAATTCACATTCATATAGATATGATCTATAGTAATATTCAATTTCCTATAAGAAATTGAACGTTACCATAGATTAAGTTTGCGAAACGTAACGTGACATCTACATAAACGTAACGTAACGTAACGTAACGTGACCATATCAGATGGGACATTACATAAACATAACGTGACGTGACACCTACATAAACGTAACGTGACGTGACACCTACATAAACGTAATGTGACACCTACATATACGTAACGTAACGTGTCATGTTACGTTTCGCAAACTTACTAGATTTTTGATTTTTTAAATTCAATTTCTTATATATGGTTTTGCCATTATAGTGTATAATAGTATATTAATACCATTTATTTACAACTCATAGGATCTTGTGGAATACATTCCTATCTAAATAGGACTTGAAACTCTATAAGAAATTACACAGGACTTAACCTAACATAAGTATCTGAAATAGGACTTATAAATAAGTCTCCCTTAAAATAATATGACAATATCAATATTTTTGTAAATGCAACTCATCTGCATAGGTATGTTTTATTTTAAAGTGAAATTTTTTTATAAATTTTTTGTTTGTATATTATTACAAAAATTAGAGATTTTGATTTGTGGTTTTTCGTGTCAAAATTAAGAAGTTTGATGTGCAGAAATTAGGAACTTTAATTCAGGGTGATTTGTGTTAAAATTATAAAATTTCTGAAGTGATTTTAGTTTCTTTATTTTTAAACAATCGTGAAGAAATAATTTTATTTTTGGTTATGAATATTGTAAAAAATCAGTTATGGAATCAAATGGTAATCAATGGAATGAACAATAGCTTAGTTATACGCAATAGCTTAGTTACAATTTTTATAGTATAGATAATAGTAATATTATTATGAAAAACTTTCAAATCATAAAAGTTCATATTAAAAACTTTTGTAAAGAGCATTTAACTTTTTGTGCTTAAAATTAGTTCAAAATTTTAATAGTATCTTTTCACTATTGATTACACGAAGGAAAAAAAAAAAAATTCAACATTGCAATCAATGAATGCCGCTCCTGAATTAATTTTCTAAGGAATGGAATAAGGACTAGGGTGGGTGATGAGTAGGGCTATGTAAAATACTGTTTAATCTGTTAAAATTGCATAAATTTGTATTAATTTGCACTGCTTAATCCGTTAATCGCGGATTAAACTTTAAATTTTATAATTCGCCTTCAAAACTGCTCCGCTCCGCTGTAGTTAATATATATATATATATTTTTTTTTAATCTCTTATGAAATATCAAAGTAAAAATAAGTGTGAAAGATATATAAAATATGAAATTTGTTATAAATTAATAGTTATACATATGAAAAATATTATATATAATTAGTTTGTATTATATCTATAAAAAAATATTATACAAATTAATATTATATATTATACAAATACTTAATAATTGGTTAAAATATTCTTCAATCCGTCAATTCTTCCAAAACCATCCAAATCGCGATTTGCTAATCCACCGATCCTCTATTTGATTTATAATTTTACTTTCAAACAATTTGAACCGCACCACGCACATCCCTATTGGTAAGGGAGAAAGCTAGGGTGTGGTGATCTAGCAAAAGGAATAATGCACATCCCTATTGGTAAGGGAGAAAGCTAGGGTGTGGTGATCTAGCAAAAGGAATAATGCTAGGGAAAGGTTGGGGGTAGCTGGGAAGGGGGTGGATAGTACTGGAGGTAGTGCCATTTGTCACATCCTGCCAAGTTATCTAGAATTGCCTACTAAGAAGAGGGCTAAATGAAAGGAAGCTAATGGAAGATTCCAGAAACTCCTAGAAGACTTGAGAGAATGTGGGACTCTTGTACATAATTCTATAATATACATTTAGAATAGTTTCTAGAACATTTAAATGAGGATTGAAGAAATGGAAGTAACAGAAGATTCTAGAACCTCATACAGAAGTGAGAAAGTAAAAGAGTATGGTATATTCTTCTAAAATGGTGAAGATATTTATATAGTTGGTTCTAGAGACAATTCTAAAACCTTCTTATAAGGATGTCGGAAACTTCTATCAAACTTCTACATAATTCCTTTCTTGTATATTCTAAAATGTTCGTAGGAAGGCCTAAGTTGCCTATAAATAAGAGACGACCACATTTACTCCAATCCAATCCAAGATTAGTTTGGTATTTTTCAAAATTTTTGATGAAAAACAATGAGAATTGAAGACAAATTTCTTACATAAAAAATTGATAGAGTCGGTTTTGAGGATTAGTTGGGTATTTTTCAAAAATATTTGATGAAAAAATAGAGAGAATTGAAGGCAGATTTCTTACATTAAAAAATTGATAGAATCGATTTCAATGATTGGTTGGGTATTTTTCAAAAATACAACCACTTAGCACAAAGTTGTGTGAACTTCTTTCAATTTAAACAGAAATGAGATCTATGATCATCCGCATCTACGTTCAAACTGAATATTTATCCATCCCATGCCTTTCTGCAACAAGTTAAACAACTAATAGTCTGCCCAAGCTCTAAAATTGAAGACCATGTTCCCGAGCTGCATCAGCAAGGGCTTCAATACGTCCATGGTACAGATATCCGCCTCGGTCAAAGGCCACCTTTGTGATCCCTTTATCCAGACAGGACTTTGCAATAACTTCACCAACTTTCTTTGCCACATCCTGACACCAAAGCTATGCAAATATCAGCACTCATTTTTTACAAAAAAAAATTCTTTTTTGCCTCCCAAATTATCACTCAAAACTTTTAATAATATCAATTTTACTCCTAAAACTATTTGATTTTGGATCAATTTTATCATTGCCATCTATATTCAAATTGTTAACGTGGCACCAAAACTTCATTTTACCTACAAACTACCCCAAATTATCAATTAGACCAATGAATATATTAAAAAAAAATTAATTTTAATTATTTAATAATAATTTTCATCTAAAAAAGTGTAATAAATTTTACAAAAAAAATTATTCAAAAATATACCTCATTTAAAATTATATTTTAAGCTTCGTATTACCTTGAGTTGCCCTCTCTCTCATAGTAATGTTATGATTAGTATTCTAATTTTAGAAGTTTAAAAGCATGTTTTTTAGGCTATTGGTGATCCATAGTTTGTATAATCTATCCGGTGACCTTAAGACCCAAAATCCATTTTTCAATAGTGTTAGCGTAGTCCAGCAGAGCAGTCCACTTTGAGGACACATCTCACAAAATATTTAGAGACTCAACCTTGAATTTTTACAGTAAGTAGATCTTTGGTATTGACAATTGATATCAAACAGACCTCATTTGGTCTCGTAGGGGTGGATTTTAGACCATTTTCTCAAAACCAGACAGATTTGTTGCATTTTATAAATTGTTTTTTGGAAAAAGACTTTACAAAACCAAATCAAGCAGACCAATGGGTTGGAAACTAAACTCATATAGATGAAATCAGGAGAGTTTCATAAATTTTAACATGTAACTGTAAATCAAATTTCAAAGTCAAAGCACAGAATCTGTCCTCTATTCCAAATTGACCCTTGTGCGATGTCAAACTTGTCTTTCTAATTTTCAATTTTACATTATTGTTTCTTACCAACACTATCTGCTGCTTAAATCTATAATCTCACAGCTACACCAAACGGTTACAACTTATACTCACAGCTATAAGCTATAATCTGTAAGCTATAATCTATAATCACTTTCCCACAGCTCTACCAAACGGGGCCAAAGTATCCTTAAAAAAGCACATTCCTACCAATTTTTCGTAACTTGGAATGTAACGGATCGAAGCATTGATTTTCCAAGGGGAGGTTCTACTGTGTTTTATTCCGAAACAACATTGTTAATGTTTATTTAACTATCTCTCTGCATCAGCGCCTTAGTCACGTTGACTCGTGTATTACAAGTCCAGGTCTCAGAGAGTCCGAGGGCATGACATTTTCCTCGAGGCACATCATTGATTAAGCAAGAGCATACTATGCAAAGCAATTTAAGGTCACTGAATCAACAGACCTCAGCAATTGTAGTAAAGTCTTCCACCAAAGGCATTGGTGAGCTGGTTGAATAATTTGTGCAAAAGAATAATAAGGAGAAGCTATTAATTCGTAATTTATCTCGTAATTTTATCCTGTGAACCTTATCTTTTTCCATTTTTTTTCTTTTTTTCATTTTTGGCAAATATTAGTGTACGGGAATTACGATAGTGGGACCAGAGCTATAGTTGAACTCCTCGGATATGGGTTTCTGCATCGTTGAAGCTGAAGCAAGAGTATGCATTTTAGTGTCATCAATCACTTGGACATAAAGATGCTTGTTGGAGCGAAAGACACACAATCTAGGTCTTTCTGGTGCCCTTCTCTGAGAAAATAATAAGTGAATTGTATAATTGACAAATATTGCATATTGGGTAGTCAAGACAACATAATTGATTTTAAAAAACAGAATCCAACAATAAATGGATGAAACCATAAAGGGTCAATTCCAATCCCACAAATAGTAGAAAATAGAACAATGTTCTATAATCAAGATGGATCTAGATTTTCCCTTACACGGGTCAGTCAATAACTAAATACAAATTATTTGTATTGATATTAACTTCATCAAGAATATAAATGAATAACAATAAGTGAATATTAGGAAGGAATTAACACTAAAATAGAAATCAAGAGAGAAACACTTTCGTAAAAAAGGGTAGTAGAATTTGGATAAAACTGAATATATTGAAATATAATTTTAGTGAGAGACGGCCAAATTTCGCACAGGTGAACGGTGTGTCAGGTTGAGTTAAAAGGTATAAATAGCTATTAAAATAAATATAAGATAATTAACCGAATCAAAATTATAGGAGACTAGTATAAGTTTACACATGCTATCAACTTTTTTTAAGACTATGGTCTTGTTTTCGTGAAATTTATTTGCATTGTTTATAGTTTTTTTTTTTTTTTTTTAATCTAAAGAATATATACTAAAGTGTTGTGTGCAACTATTTACTTACATTTTATGAGAAAAAAAAATAACTTAAATAGCTTGAAAAGAGCTAACAATTAGAAAACTGATAATAATGCTTTTAGCTTCAATTTTTTAAATTATCAACTTCAAATTTATAAGAAGCTACACCAAACAGATCCTATGTAATTATTTGAAAATTATTCATGTGCTTAAATTCATAAAGTTCATAAGTGATCTAATTAAGAACTAATAGAAACTCACATAAGAAAGCAATTTCATTTCTCTAGAAGATTTTAAGCATTTTTTTTTTTTAAATATGATTTTTACCAATATCATTTCCCTCCACCCTTATTTAGTGATAGTAGAAATAGAAACAATGAAGAATTGACTATTGAAAACCATAGATAATTTATAGTTAACATTTCAATAAGGATGGTGAGGTTGAGAATGATGTGTCCATATAATCGAAGTAGGTTGACTTAAGTGG